CACCCCGGCGCTGCCTCACAAAGCCCGTCTGTGCCCCGCTGCCGGCGTGCCCACCAGTTTGCCCAGCAGAGCTGGAGCCCTCGTCCCAGTCCCCGCAGCCCTGGAAGCGCCACGGCCCCCGAGACGACGCAGCCAGGCACGGATAGAAACGAGATTTTATTCCTTTCTCCCCGCCTTCGGCCACAGCACAGAACAGACCAGCCCTTCACCACAGCAGCACACTCGCCTCTTTAAAAGGAAACACAATAGCTCGGTTTATTGAACAACAGTCAGGATTTCGCCATTTCTACACACCACAGGGATTGCTTTGTTTCGTGGTAACACCGACGGCACACTACGGACTGCACGGGCACAGCGACGGGGACACGCCAGGGCTGGGCTGCGCGGGGACCCTCCGAGGGGGCGAGCAGAGCTCCCCAAAACGGCCAGGAGGAAGGGAAGGGACATGGGACTGGAGACACACCACTGAGAGATGCAAAGCACATGGGAGCACAGCAGAAACCCCTACCAAAACCATCCCAGAGGACAACTACCTCTTCCCAGCGCATCCTTTTTGGGTGCCTGGTGCCCAAAGCAGAGGGATGCTCGGCTGCAGTTTGCAAGCTGGGTGGCCAGCTGCCTTGGCAAGCGCCCACAACCAAGCCGGTAGCCACAGCTTCGCACACCCACACGTTTGGGGAAGGGCCAGACTCACGGGTTTGCCTCCAGCCCACAAGGGGACACAAGGTGACGATGGACTCCGTGCTCAGCCCCTCTGAAGTGGGTGCTTGGCCGCTGTGCGAGCCCCCGAGCACCACTTGCCGCTGGGGAGAAGGGGCGGTTGGCACAGGGGGCCGGGGATACAGGACAAGACACAGCACTGACACGGGTGGCCATGTCCCAGGCCACAGCACGGGGAGCGACGAGGCATGAGGAAGGGCAGGGAGCACCAGGAAGAAACACCGCTGCTGGAGACGAGCGAGGACAGGATCTTCGTTGCAGTCTGTGTTTCTCTTTAGCCCTCGCAGACTGCTGAGCCTGCCCGTCTCGCAGGCAGCCAGGGCGCTGGCCAGGAGCTGGGTCGTGCTGGTTACAGGGTCACCACCGCGCAGCCGCCCTCTGTCACAGTGTCACCGTGCCGGGGTTGTCACAGGCTTCTCCACCACCACACTTAACACAGCATCCCACACCCACGGCTCGGCTTTAGCCAGGGACGCAACCGGGGAGCGCCGAGCAGGAGAGAAAGGGGAGCTCAGCCTTAAATCCAGCACCTGGGTACCAGCACCGAGGGCAGTGGGGCCGCGGGAGGTCCCTGCCCAAGTCGCCCCCCACCACGGCTGCCTTTGGGCTGGGGGCACGCAGGAGGATTTATTGCTGATGCTGCAATGCGTGGTCCAGAGTCGCGCTGGGGGACGGGTCCCCGAGCCCTGCCCAAAGCCAGCCGGGGTGAACCACGAGCACCCAGAACACAGATGGGGGGACATTGAGGGACACGGGGCCATGGCAGGCTCCACACCCCACGTCCCGCCCTGCTCCGCAGCTCCCGTTCCCGGCTCGAGGGCAGCAGTCGTACACAGCCCGAATCACACGCACGGCACGAGGAAAGTGGAGAGAACGTCACTATCACGACACCAGCAACGAGTAGCCCTAGAGGTAACGATCATCTCACATCAACATGACACAGCACTGGAGGCAGAGAGGACGGCGAGCGGAGTTTAGTCGGGTTAGTGAACAGAAAACCGCTGCTGGAGCACAGAGGGTAACACAGACACCGC